TTTTTTTTGGAGAGATTTTCACTGTAGGGCGCGTGCGCTCGCCAGACAGACAGAGAGAGACATAGAGACAGAAAGCGAGAAATCACCCCCCAGGGGGGATGGTCACGCCGCAATCCCTTCTCCTCCATTCTCCTGTCAGGATCTTGGGCACGCACGCACACGCGCCCGGCGTGAGTTTTAAGCCACCGGGTCCAGGACGTGAACCGCGGTCGACTACGTGGGAGTCCAGCGACATAGCCATTACGCTAACTGCTGGTTCCCTTGGCTCCAGACTTTTAAACATCCAAGAAGACAAAAACCTGATCATCTTGCCCAGTTCTCTGAGAATAGGTTCCTGCTACTAAGATGAAAAATTTATTCTGTAAATCTTCATAAAGAGATATCAAGTGATATAATCAACAGTGTCTGTAACCAGCCCTTGCATAATTTTAACAATCAGTTTCATATCACCTCCCTCAATAGAAACCAGTGCTAGTACATGAACTATAATTTGATAGAAGTAAATTGAGTTTTTGCTCCTCTTTAGTGGTTGCTGGGGAGGAAGGTCGGCATCTAATGCAATCATATTTACTTTCCCCAGGTATCTGCAAGTCAAAATGCACAGCTCTGAAGAGAAACCGCCAAGACAACCCCCCCACCCCCACCCCAACACACACCTCCCTAGGGCAGTTCCTCAACCCCAGGGAATAAGTCAGAGGGATATAAAAGCAAACATTCCTTTCTCAATTCTCAGTATGAATGCTGATGGTCTCTAAAGAGTTGGCATTAATGGGGGCTGAGGAGCAGCCTTATGGGAGGGAGGGAGAGAGCAGAGACTTAGGAGTAGAGAATGTTAGACTCGGAATATTTCATTCAAGTTTTAGCATTGTTAGAAGAGTAAGCTTTTTTATATTAAGTATAATGGGACTATAATGACTATGAAAAGCAAAAGTATCTCCAGACACACACTTGTCTACATAGAGACACATAAACACACACATTCAGGAATAGTGATAGATCTTTTACCTACCACTTATTTTCCAAGACTTAAAGCTAAAAGAACAGATTTTCAGATTGTTGAATAAAGTATGATTCTGACTATTTGTGCATTCTTTATTTGACACGGTGTTGCTTCAACCCAGCACACTATTTTCTACTTAGGCAAGGTTATTGATTCTGTCCTGGGTTCAAAAAGCTTTAATTACGTCATTGTAATTCTTTTTATGATACCAAGGGACATAGACTCTGCTCCTCAGTTCAGATACATTACTGGTTAATAAGCAAATGCTCTTAGAAAGGACTTACATTTTAGAGCTATGTCTAGTGTTTACAGTCTAGTACTTGATGTGAACAAGGATCTGAGCAAGAGGGAGGAAGATACGAAACTCCAAGTAAAGAGAAAGGATATAAAGTATAAAAATATAGTGAAGGCCTAGCCTGTGTCCTCATAGTTAAGGCGGCTGGATCCTACATGTCCAACCGCACAGTTTGAGTCCTAGACCCTGTGGCTTGAAAAACATGCTGAGTCCATAAGTGTGCATGCCCAAAGTCCCAAAAGGAGGAAAAAATGGAGAGCGATCATGGCGGGACAGTGCGCGCCATGGTGGAGGTGACAGTGCGCCATGGTGTGACGGGTGGAGAGGAGGTGATTTCTTGCTTTCTCTCTCTCTCGATTCTTCTCCAATGAGTGCACATACCCTCTGACAAAATTTAAATTACATATATATAGTGAAAATGGCATGAATTTAGGGTCAAGTCCCAGATTCAAGTTTTATCATTTGCTTTCTGTGAAAATATTTGTGAAAGTACAACAAAATAAGTCTGGAGCTGGCCCCATAATGTAGCTGTTAAGCACCGTGCAGAGGAAGCTGGATCCCATGTGGCCAAGCAGGGTTTGACTCCTGCCCTGGTAGTTTGAGAATAATGTCAGGTAAGGGGGCATGTGCCCAGGATCCTGATGGGATAGAGAACTGGAGGAAAAAGGATTGTATCATGACTAGGCCCCACTGTAGGGTGCTTTCTCTCTCTTCTCCTCTCTCTCATACAATTACATGTACTTTGGCATAAAAAGAAGAAGAAAAAGTAATTCTGAAGTCCTTTGATAAACACACAGACATAAGCAAACATGCTTCCATCTTTGCTTGTTTTTAGGGCTGATGAATCACCAGTAGTTCAGTCATCCAGCAAGCATTTTTTGAGTACCTGCCTTGTGCCAACCATTGAGTGCTAGTATTAGGTACTAGAGAAACAATGAGGAGAAAAAAGTTTTTTTTTCAATAATTATTCAACTTTACTTATTTATATATTTATTTATTTAAATTTGACCTGAGAGGGACAGAGTAAGAAAGAAAGTGAGAAAGCAAGCCACCAGGTCCAGAACTCGAACCATGGTTGGCCATGTGGGAATCTGGCACCTTCATAACCACCATGTCACCTACCGCCCCCAAAAAAGATTTTTTTTAAAGTCAGGTTTTTGCTATAGGTTGTGTACATGCGCCAGAAAGACAGAAAGCGAGACATCACCCCTCAGGAAGGATGGCCGCACCGCAATCCCTTCTCCATTCTCCTCTCAGGATCTTCGGCTCAGGCATGCATACACATGCGCCCGGTGTGAATTTAAGTTGCCTGGTCTGGGACTTGAACCACAATCAACTATGTGGGAGTCCAGTGATGTAATCATTACACCATCTGCTGGTCCCTGAAAAGAGATTTTTTTTTAAAGAAAGAATATTGAGCAGAGAGCAGAATGGGCAGGATTCAATGATGACTTAGAAGAGGGCACATGATGAAGATTGAAGTTTTTTCCAAATATGTCTGTTAGGAAGCTGGAAATACATGTTTATATTTGAAAATCATTTTTCTATACTCTAATCCTGTTATTCTTCCTTAAAAAGAGTAACCTTCAGAGGCCAGCAAGTAGTTAAGGCACTGGACTCCTACATGGCCAACCACACAGTTCAAGTCCTGGACCCAGTGGCTTGTTTTCCCACTTTCTCTTTGTTTGTTTTTAATTATTTATTTTATTTATTCATTCATTCATTTATTTTAATTTGACCAGAGAGACACACATTTTAATTTGACAAGAGAGAGAAAGAAAGCAAGGCACTAGGTCTGGGACTCGAACCATGGTCAGCCATGTGGGAGTGTCCAGTGCCTCAACCACCACACCACCTACTAGTCCCTTCTCACGTTCCCTTCCTGTCTTTCTGTCTCTCTGGTCAAATTAAAAAAATAGTAATATGTGGTGCCGGCAGTGGTTACATCACTGGACTCCCACATGGACGACTACAGTTCAAGTCCTGGGCCCAGTGCTTTGAAAATCATGCTTGGGGGGGTACTGGCAGGTTGTGTAGTGGTTAAGGGCAATGGACTTCCACATGGCTAACCATGGTTCGAGTCCTGGACCTGGCAGCTTGCTTCCTCTCTCTCTCACTCAATCCCTCTCTGTTCAAATAAATAAATAACATTAAATAAAATAATTATTTAAGGGACCAGCAGGTGGCGTGTTGGTTGGGGCGCTGGACACTCCCATATGGCCGACCACGGTTCAAGTCCTGGACCCGTTGGCTTGCTTTCTCACTTTCCTCTCTCCTCTCTCTGTGTCTCTCTCTGGTCAAATTAAACTGAATGAATGAATGAATAAATAAATCTTTAACAAAAAAAATTATTATTTAAAAGAAAAAAAAATTACACCAGGTGTGTGTATATGTGTGCCCAAAAATCCCAGGAGGAGAAAGGAGAAGAATGAAGAAGGGATTGCGTCATGGCCATCCCACTGGGGAGTGATTGTGGAATTCAGCACCCTAACTACCATGCCACATGCTAGCCTGAGTCTCTCTCTTAATATGTCTCCTAGAAGGCATTCTACTTTGACGTTCAGACCACTGCTGAAGTGATACTCGAATGGTATTGGAAGGATAGGGAAATTCGGGCACCTAACTGTACAAGGCCTTCTATGATCTGCTTGAAATGCACCTCCCACATTCATCTGGCAAAATCCAGCTTGAGCCTTTTCTCTCTATTGCTGACCCACATCTCCCCAGGAAACTGATCCTGTCTGTGGAGTGTGCCAGACTTCTAGGGACTTAACAGTCTGGTCAAGAGAGAAGCAGTAACCGCTATAGCAGAGGCACACCTGAAGTGGAAAAATGTCCTGACTGTGAGATTGGCACTTTATTTGTATATGACCCTACTGAAGTCTCCAAGGAGGTAGGAGAAAGGGCCAGTATGCTTATTTAGGGCGGACAGTCCCAGCTGGGAACCAAACTGTTTACACTGACTTACAAAACAGTCAAGTTGTTCAGGGGAAAGGCTAGGGTTTAGAAGACTCCCATACCGGCAGCAGCAGGAGATGGGGCTGAGGCCCCTGGAGGTCTGTTGATAAAAGGATGGCTGCTCCGGTTTCTGAGGTTTAGTATTTAATCCTTGGGGAGCACTAGCACAGCTCACCACCACGTGAGGCTTCATTTGTCATCTATCTGTATGCATCTCTATACAGAATTAGTTTTAAGAGCACCATCCAGTCCCTGCCTTCCAGCATTTGAAGGACTATATTGATTGAGTGAGACATACAGAAAACTCTAGAAACATGACATTTCCAGGACAAATAAGATATACCGAAAAGTCTAATATGTACATTGCTTACAATATTCCTTTTTTTTTTTAAGTTTTTGCCATAGAGTACATGCGCTGGCCAGAGAGAAAAGAGGGAAAGTAAGAAATCATGCCCCCAGGGTGGTTGGCCACACCACACTCCCTTCTCCTCCATTCTCCTTAATGGTTTGCATTTTTATTTTATTTATTTATTTATTTGACCAGCAAAAGATAGAGAGAAGGAAAGTGAGAAAGCACGCTGCCAGGTCTGGGACTTGAACCATCGTCAGCCATGTGGGAGTCCAACACTTCAACCACCACGCTACCTGCCAGCCCCGTCTTTTTCCTTTTCCTTCCTTTTATTTTATTATTATCTTTAATAGTTTTGCCATAGAGCATGTGCACTTGCAGGATTGAGACGGAAATAGGAAGAAAGGAAGCATCTTTCAGGAGCAATGGCCATGGTACAATCCCTTCGCTGTTCTCCTCTCAGGCATTTGGGCATTCATACACACACACCTGGCATTTCTGGACATGGTAACCCAGGGCTTTTCCATGTGAAAAGTTGTGTCACTACTATGCCACAGCACAACCCCTGATCATTCTTTTATTATGTACATTGTAATTACATGTCACTTTCTTTGCCTCTCTTGATTGAACTGGCAGTTTTCCCACACACGGCCCTCTTCCTCACTGATACTGCCATGCCTTTTAGAAATACTAATACATGTAAATAAAGTGAACTTCATCAACTTTTTTTTCTTCCTTCTGGTTTTCACCACTAACACTTTAGAAATAAAAGCAAGTATTCTATTTATGGCTTTGTTTTTACTAATTTTATGTGTGTGTGTGGGGGGGAGACTGAAAGTCTTTATTCCCCAGATAAATACACCCAATCTGATACCTGTCTTTTTGTTGATGTCTATAAATATTGGTTCTCAAACCTACAAAATACACAGGAGACAAATAAACACAGAAGTCTATCACTGGGATAGAAGGCAGAATAACCACAAGTGTTTTAACCCTAAATGGGAAGCCAAGATAACAATAGTTAGCATTTATTGAGTACTTAACTGTGTGCCAGGTAAGGTTCTAACGCTTCATGGGTGTGAACTCATTCCTTCCTCATAGTAACTGGATGAGACAGGTATTGCCCCAGGTAAGAGCAAGCAAACAGAAGTAACTTGTCCAAGATCACAGACAGAGTTGATTCCAGTGCCAGGGTTATATACTATTATATCCTCTTAGTCACTAAGTTCTCCTGATTAATTTAGGAACATTTCCAGCCACAGAGAAGTGAGTCAAAAGGTAGCTACGGTATGGCTCTGATCAATATTTAAATCGACGTGCTTACCATGTGGTAGATCCATGCTCATGAAAGGCTTTGTAGGCATCATTACTTTCAGTTCCCCATTTTAAGGATGAGGAAACAACTTTTAGAAACGATTAGTAATTTGGCCAAAGACACACAGCAAACAAGGAGCTGAGCTGGGACTGTTTGAATCCAAAGTCCAAGATGCACTTCAACTGCTACACTACTCTGCCTCGGATGAATATCAAAGGAGCAAGATCCGGCGGGACCTGTTTTCGCTCCCCACCTCGCTGCACGGCTCCGGAGCCTGTGCCTACCCGGTTAGCTTACGTTCCAAGTTTCGGGACACAGATTTAAGTAAATGGCATGCAAACGCCAAGTAAATGTAAATCTCCACATTTCCTCAAAATTAAAATAACGTCGACGGGGGACATGGGACGGAACCCAGTTAGTCCGGGATTCAGATGTCATCCCTTCTAAAGCCTCAGGGCGCGGGAGGAAGCGGCGCCGGATAGAGAGTAAAGGGACAGTCGGGAAAGGGAAGGCTGCCTTTCCTCCCCGGGGAGCAGAGGCGGCAGGGCGGGCAGAGGGAACCTGCAGAGGGCGGTTTCTCTCCTCTTTTCCTGTCCCACCCAGTCGGCCTGTCCCCCACCCCCACTCCGGCCGGCCTCTGCAACCAACTCCGCGTCTCGGCGGCTTCCTCCAGCTCCGGGTCCCTCGTGGGCCCCCCCCGGCCCCCGCG